CCACTGAGACCACAACCTTAGCTTTTTTATTTTATTTTATTTTATTTTTTTGAGACAGGGTTTCGATAAATTGCTTAGGGACTTGCTAAGTTGCTGAGGCTGGTCTCAAACTTGCAATCCTCCTGCCTCAACCTCCTAAATTACTGTGATTACAGATGTAAGCCACTATGCCAAGCTAGCTATTTGTCTTTTTATAAACAAAACTGTGAAGGAAATAGTTTCTTTAGGGAGTCAGTTTCTCTTTTCAGCACCTTTACCTCAATTTCATTGTGCCTCTTTTCTGTTCCTACAACTAGGTGGGCAGTGTCCTCTCTTCTCTACTCCTTCCTTAGTCTAGTTCTCAGAAATCAATTTCACAAACTCCTTTACATTTTCATTTATATGACCAAGATGCTTCATTATCAAATCCTTTCCTGGAGGGGTGTGTGTGTGTTTGCTGGGAATTAAACCCCCAGGGCCTTGGACATGCTAAGTATACTCTCTACCACTATTCAATAGGGTCTCAGAGATTTAAATCAAGGGGAAGAAATTTCAGTTGTGGAATTCCAAGCAACAACAAACAGCTGTGCCAAGTCTTTGAGGGATAGGACACATTATTGGTACCTCTGAAATTATACCACTTAAGAGACCAGACTTTTTATTCTATCACCTGACACCCTCAGGTTGTCTCTTCTGCTAGTCCAGAGACCAGGATCCCCTGGATCAGGGCCAGTACTTTTTGCCACCTGGTCTCCCTTAGAAAGGCAAAAGAGAGATACCTCTTGTTTACTCAGTACTAATTCATTGTAACAGACACACAACAAGTGTCACCAGCTCCAACACACGCAGTGAAGGCATACCACACCCTCACCTCTTACCCATCACAGCTTACTCCTTGAGACACATCAGATTTCATGTGGAGGACAGGATGGAGCCACTTAAGCAGTAAGCCAGTTACCCATGGTTATTTTTGACTTGTGGGCAACACTGAAAATGTAGAGGTAAAGAACAAAGGCTTTTTTAATCCTCCCCTACAGCCTATTGGTATCATTCCCATATATGTTGTTGCAGCATTTCTATATATAGAGCCTAGTATTCTATAAACAGGATCCTCTAGCTAAAAGGATCACTCCAAGCAAAATTGTGAGGTAGAGAAAGATAGTATCTTCCTGTCTTTCCTCACCCTCCTTTCCTAAATCTCACTGGAGACAGAAAAGCTCTAGAAAGTAGCATGGACTTTGAAGCTGGACAGACACAAGGAATAAACCTTGCTCAGCCTTTTATTAGTTGTGTGACCTTGAGCAAGTTATATAATTTGAATGTTCAACTTGCCTATGTACAAAAATGAGAATGATATTTTTTTACTGGTTCATATTATAATTAAGTAAGAAAATACATGAAAAGCATCTAATGCATGCTTGACTCTCAAGGGGTGAGTATCTGTTTTTCCCCATTTAGTTCATTATGCACCTGGTGCCCTCAAGATATTCTCTGGCTGTCCAAAGCCATGAAGTGTTCCCTATACAAACCTTCCTTTCCTAATCCCTATCAAAGTTCCCAAGATTCCATCTCTTATGAGAGCTGACCCATCACACTGTTAAAGGAAAGCAAGTCTGATGGTGAAATGAATTCAAGTACAATGTAAACAGTATTGCTGGGTTCCTACATTAACTCTGTGGGGGTATTTCTGTATTTTAAAAAGGAACTTAAAAATTCAAATGAAAGAATTATAATGGTGAGACTCTCCCACAGGATAAAAAGACTACAGTGTCACCTCTTTCCTTGGGAACACAGCCTCCATGACTCTCTGAGATGAAGATGAGAAATCAGATCTACAGAATGTCAGCTCGGATTGCTGTCATACCTCAAATCAGTAACAGGTCCAGAATAGAACTTGGGAGCCTTGGCTGCCCCTCCTGCTATAGCCAGCACACACCACTTCCTTAGCCAGGAAGTTATAGTGATACTTTTTTTCCTAGGAGGTTTCCAACACTATTTTAAACTCTTTGGAATCAAGCAATAGAATTTGAGGATAGTCAGAGCCTTGGAACAGTCTATGGGAGGCCTGGGCCCCATTTCCAACATCACATTTTTCTTTTCCTTTCAAAATGGTCTCAATGAGGCACAGATTAAACACAGGAAGTAGAAAGGACCTGCATCCTAATTTCTCTCTCCATAATCCAGAAAGGAGGATCACAGAGTAATTTCTAGGCTTACCATATACAGGATCACAGAAGCAGATTATTATGCTAAAATCAGCCTTAGTATAATCACCTGGCACAATGTGCTGTGCTCACTATAAATCACCATTCAGCATTGGGATTCTCATTGCCAGGTATTCTTTAGCATTTTTGTGTGTATATTCAACTTGACTTTCCTGGAAAGCCCCTGGGGAGCCAGGAATACCAGCCAGCCTGGGTTCTCAGGAGCCAGACACCTCTTGTGGGTGGAAAAGGCTGGCTGGCAGCTTCAGCAGGTGGTATAAAGAACTGAAAGTGAAGTCTAGGTGAGGAAGTGACTAGTCCAGGCAGGATTACCCAACAGTATGTGCTTAGGAAACTGGCAGAGACTATGACAACAATTATTTTAAATTATTTTTTAAAATGTTTATTTTTTAGTTTTAGGTGGACACAATATCTTTATTTTATTTTTATGTGGTGCTGAGGATCAAACCCAGTGCCTCACACATGCTAGGCAAGCATTCTACCATTTGAGCCACAACCCCAGCCCTTAAATTATTTTATATTTATCAAAGTAGTCACTACAATAAAAATCAGAATTTTACTACATCTTCCTAATTCTTTGCTGTATTTCCTTATACTTTTTTGCATTCAATACTGATTTTGATATATACACTAAGTGCTCAAATGCTTTAAACTTTAAAGTTTTTAATTTGGCCCTTTGCTTCAGGAAGAGGCAAGAAAAATCAAGAGTCTGAATCTTCAAGGTCAATATTCATTTCTTCATTCAGCAAACACTTCCTGAGGGGCTAGTAAGTGCCAGGTCTTTGCTCATCCTGAGTAACGAACTAAACAGATATGGTTCCCATATTCCTGGAGCTCACAGTCTAGTGAGAGTAGCTGGGAATAAAAGCAGGATCCACAGCCAAAGGTCTATACTGCAAAACTCAGCCAGCAATGAGATGGGAGCAGAAGAGTCCATAAGCAGTCAAGGAGCTATTCAAGATGAGCTGGTTCAGAGAATGCCTTCCACCCCTCACTTCCTTTGTGCAAGGGAAAGAACCACTGTGATGGGTTGAGTTCATCAATAACATGATGACTGATGACCCTCACAGCTGGTGCAGCCACACAGTTGCTCCTTTTCTGCTCATAGCCATGTTCTGAAAACTGTGTGTGATATCCTGAAAACTTCAAATAAAAACACAAAATCTGAGCTATCAGAACAGAAATTCTAAAAGATACAACTGGCCAGAAGCAGGAATCATAAAAACAATGGCCAGAATCAGCTGAGGGATATCCCCAATCTTGTCACATCAAGTCTCTGACTGCATTAAAAATAATTTAAAAAGGAGAAAAGCTGTGAAAAAGAGACCAATTATAATGGTCAGGATACCATCAGAAGTCTCTTAAAATGAGTTTCTGCACTACAATATGAAGTGGGTAAGAACTGGTGAAAGGCTATGGCCTAATAGGTTAGACAAGGGAGACATATCAGGAGCTCAGTTCTGGCACTGCCAGAAGTTGGGGAAGGTGGAAAGCCAACAGGAGCCAGAGAATCAGAGCAGTATCTACAGAGATCTCAAAGTATCTCACCTCTTTGGGTTTCTGTTTTCTTTATCTGAACATGGAGATGATGGTAACAGCATATATTAGTTCCTTAGGTCTGCTACAACAAATTGACACGAATTGGATGGCTTAAAACAGAAATTTGTTATCTCACAGTTCTGGAAGTTACAAGTCTGAAATTAAGGTGTCAATAGGCCCACACTCCCTCTTAAAGCTCTAAAGAGTTCTTCCTTGCTGTCTCTAGTTTCTGGTGGTTGCTGGCAATCCTTGGAGTGCAAAGCCATTTCTGAGCTTATAGCAGCATAACTCTAATCTCTGCCTCCACTGTCATGTGACCATCTGTATCTCTCTCTCTCTCTCTCTCCTTAGAAAGTCATTGGATTAGGATCTGCCAATAGGATCATCTGAAACTTGATTATATCTGCAAAAACCCTATTTCCAAATAAGATCACATTCAGAGGTTCTGGATGTGTATATGAATTTTGGGGGAATGGACCTAACAGAGCATCAACCTCATAATAAGGGGCTTATGTGTGTCGGTGCTCCAGACTATGCTTTAATGCATTCTATGTAAAGGTTAATCACCCTTCATTATTGTTTCTGTCAGGCAGCAGCTGCCAATAGGACATGTAAGTGCTCTGTTATATAAGAATCACCTTACCTCCATCTTGAGTTAAAGAATGGAACTAGAGTTCTGAAAAGAGATGATGAGGACAAAGACAAAGCAAAACAGGTTTACTACAGTACTACCCTGGGTTCCACCTCCAGCACTGGGGGGCGGGGGGATAAAAGGAAGAAAGAAAGAAAAAAAATCATTGGAAAAATGTTCAAAGGATATGAATAAGTCAAAGAGAAAAATACGAAATACAAAATATACTTGTAAAGATGTTCAATCTTTTATATTCAAAAATACAAATTAAATCATATTTATTGTTATACCTCAGTTGTTATTCTAAACATTTTAATTGAACTTATTTATTCCTTATAATAATCCTTTATATATATATATATATATATTTTTTTTTTTTTTTGAGAGAGAGAGAGAGAGAGAGAGAGAGTGAGTTTTGGGCGGACACAACATCTTTGTACGTGGTGCTGAGGATCGAACCCGGGCTGCACGCATGCCAGGCGAGCGCGCTACTGCTTGAGCCACATCCCCAGCCCTTTAATATTTATTTTTTTAGTTTTGGGTATAATAATCCTTTAAAATAGGTGCTATTATCATCCCTACTTTACTAAAGATGAAACTCAGACAGAGGAAGGTAAATGACCTACCTAAGGTCACACAACAAGTGGTTGAGTCAGAATTCGGGCTATAAGAAGCTAGTTCCAAAGACACCTTCTTTACTCTTGACTTATCATGTGACCTGTTAGATGGATAAGATATATCACCTGTAGGATGGGTAAGACAAAAAACACAATGCCAGCCAGCCATGGTGGTGCACACCTGTAATTCCAGCAGCTCGGGAGTCTGAGGCGGGAGGACAGTGTGTTCAAAGCCAGCCTCAGGAAATTAGCAAGGCCCTAAGCAACTTAGCAAGACTCGGTTTCAAAATAAAATATAAAAAAGAGCTGGGGACGTAGCTCAATGGTTGAGTGCCCTGGGTTCAATACCTAGTACCAAAAAAACCCCTGCAATGCCCAGTGTGATTAAAACTATAGAAAGTCATGTGCTACTGGCAGAAGCTTATATTCTTTTTTTTTTTTCTCTCTCTCTCTCCCAGCAACTCAAAAGGCTAAGGCCCTAAGCAACTTAGTGAGACCCTGTCTCAAAAAAAAAAAAAAAAAAAAAAAAAAAAAGCCTGGGAATGTAGCCCAGTGGTAAAGAAAGCACCCCTAGGTTTAATCCCCAATACAAAAAAAAAAAATTTACACATATACATGCTTATACTCTGTGAGAGAGGATTAGCACATAAAGAGATGGTTAATAATAAACAAGGGTTCAGATTAAGTGCTAGGAAAGTGGTACAGGTAGTGTGTATGTTCTCCCACCCACTTACATATCTTCTTCCCCATACTTTGTTCCAGAAAGAATATAAGGAGAGCACATCTACACACCCTCCCAAGTTCTTTGACTTTTCCCATCCTCCCTCATCCTTTCCCTCTTCTTTCCAGAAGCCAGGTCACTCATAGGGTGAAAAGGGGATACAAGAGGAATGGAGGAGCCAGGTACAGTGGCCCACAGCTATAATCCCAACAACTTAGGAGTCTGAGGCAAGAGGATCTCAAGTTCAAAACCAGCCTCAGCAACTCAGTGAGGCCCTAAGCAATTTAGTGAGACACTGTCTCAAAATAAAAAGATAAAATAAAAACGGGCTGGGGATGTAGCTCAGTAAAGTACCTCTGGGTTCAATCCCTGATTGACTGACTGACTAAATAAATAAATAAATAAATAAAAATAAAGATATTGTGTCCACCTAAAACTAAAAAATAAATATTAAAAAAATTATTAAAAAATCACTTTTGATCATAATTACTTTTTATCATATTCCTACTATGTGCTATTGAATTTAAGACGTCAAAGGCACATTCAGGTTCAGCTGACCTGCTAACCTGATTAAATATCCAGGCCTGATACTAGAAAGAGGATGAAAATTTGAGGTTCTCCTAGGGCTATGACACAGAAATCTCAAACTACATACTATTTGACCAGAGACTTTAGGCCCCAATCTGTCTTCTGCTCCTTTCCTGGGCTTTCAGCAGGAAACATTCACAAATTCATTTTCTCTTTCTCTCCTTCCTCTCCTCATCCCCAACTTTCCTCTCTCCCCACCCCTCCCCCACTCCCCAAGCCCCCAACACACTTAAGTCTGTCAAAGAGAAGAAACAACCTGCTAGAGAAGTATGCAAGATGTGTCAGAAAAAAACAATCATTCCTTTTATAGAAGAGTCTTTCTTTCTCATCTTTGTTGAATGTTTAATAAGCAAATCTTATGCTACTCACTATAGGATAAAATCTTAAGAGATGCCTCCTTCCTTTGAGAACTTCCTCCATTCGGGAAATCAAAACCAACATACATACACATTTTTTAAAAAAAGGATTGCTCCTAGCCAAGGCATGGTTTATGCACACCTGTAATCCCAGTGACTTGGGAGACTAAAGCAGAAAAATATCAAGTTCAAGATACTTGAACTTCCACAACTTAGCAAGACCCTAAGCAACTTAGTAAAATCCTGTCTCAAAAAATAAAAAGGGCTGGGGATGTGGCTCTGTGGTTAAGTGCCCCTAGGTTCAATACCCAGCACCAAAATAAATAAATTCAATTCAATCCAATCCAATTCAAAAAGGACTGAGGATGTGGCTCAGCAGTATAGCACTTGTCTAGCATGTGTAAGGCCCTAAGGTTCAATCCCCAATACTCAAAAGTGCAGGGGTATGTGTGTGTGGGGGGGGGGTGTTCCAAGATTTATACTGAACGGAACAGGAAGAATAAAGATGCTAATAAAACAAATGGTAGGAAGAGCAAGAAAAATAGTGTGATATTCTGATGTACACAGGTTATCTTAAGTTTCAAAATCAATCAATTTTTTTTAGTCTGGGTACGTAATAGGTATATAAATTTGCCCTTTTTTCTCATATGAATAGTAATACTAGCACAATAACCATAAATACTATTATGTACCTCTCTCTAGTTATCTCTTAATAATAGGTCTTAGAGATTGTTCCATACCAGTATGTATTTGTATCATTCTTTTTGATAGCTGCATAATATGGCAATAACCACCTTTATGGTTTGGATCTGGAATGTCCCAACAGTTCATGTGTTGAAGACTTGATTATTAATGCAGCACTGTTCAAAACTGGGAATTATGGGAACTGATTGGATCATGAGGACTCTGACCTCATCAACGAATTAATTCACTGAGGATTCAAAGCTAAATAGACTGTTGGGAAGGGGTAGAAACTGTAGGAGATAGAATCCAGTTGGTCAGAGCCCTTAGGGGCATGCCCTTAAGAGACGATATCCTGTCCATAGCCCCTTTCCCTCTCTCTGCTTCCTGGTTACCATGAGGTGAGTGACTGTGTTCCACCACGCCCTCCTCAGTATGATGTACTGCTTCACCACAGGCCCAAAAACAATGGAGCCAGCTAAACAGGGGCAGAAACCTCTGAGACCATGAGCCAAAAAAAATCTTTCTTTATTTAAATTGATTTTCTCAACTAATTTGTCCCAGCAACGAAAGCTAACATATCCATTATAATTTATTCAACTAGTTTTTATCAATGTTTTGTTGCTGTTGTTATTGCTGTTGTTGTTTGATGGTGGTACTGGGTTCCCAGGGCCTCACACAAGCCAGATAAGCACTCTACCACTAAGCTACACCCCTAGCCCATAAGATATATTTTTAAGCAAAATGTACTGATGGCTCTCTACACATTGTTCCCCTCAAAAAAAAAAAAAAATGTTCAGACATCATTCTTCATATATCCTCTAAGAAATCATGAGTTAATTATTGATAACTGCTTTGGTTTGAATTTAATAGTGTTCCACATCATTTCTACCAAGCTGTAGGTTAGTTTTCTCAGAATCACAAGAAGACACTAAGGAGAGCTAGGCGCAGTTGTGCATACCTATAATTCCAGCAACTCGGGAGGTTGAGGCAGGAGGATCACAAGTTCAAGGCCAGCCACAGCAACTTAGCAAGACCCTGTCTCAAAATAAAAAATAAAAAGGGCTGGGGTGATAGCTCCATGGTAAAGCAACCCTGGATTCAATCCCAGTATCAAAAAAAAAAAAAATGTCAACAAGGATATGATCAAGAAAATATATGAAATATACATCATCCTTTGAACACTACAGTCACCCTTTTTCTCTATTATCCCTACTAATGGCTTATCAATATTACTTATTTTACTGTTTAACTCTCAGGATATTTTAAAGAACATACACAGTAGTGTTAACTAATAATAATAAGCACCCCTTTGACTTCAGTGTCTCTAGATCTGCTGATTGTAGGATAGGGCTTCTCAGGGTTCAAATTATCAGATTTCCCATTTTCAAGTTAATTAATCTCTCAGAGCCTCCAGTTGGTCACCTATAAAACAGGTAATACCACCTATCTTTCGCATAGGCAAAATCACAACACAGGGTGAGAAAGCCTATTCAAGAGGAACAAAATACTGTCTCTGTTGAACCAGCACAACCTGGGAAGGTCAAAGAAATGCTTAAAGAAACAGTAAAGGACAAGAAGCAATCTGACAAGTTAATAAGAGAAAGGGTATTTCTGGGACAGGCAACAGCTTATGCAAAGGGCAAGAGCTGTGCAGAGCCACAATGCAGCAAAACAGATACTAAAAAGAAAACAAAAATATGGATTAGTCAACAAGGGCTTATTGAGTGGCTTTATGCAAAAAGTACTGAAAATACAATCATGAACAAGAAGACCCCTGCCCTCATGGAGCTTATAATCTAAAAGGAGAGAAAGACAAACAGGTAAATAGCATTAAGTGATCTGACTAAAGCCAATGGGGGACTAAGATAGTTTCTTGATAAACAGTGGCCAAAAAAGATCTCTAAGAAGAGATTATATAGATACACAAAGTTGCCCTCTTTTTTATACAAATACTAATATTAGTTGACATGGTAAGTCAAAGGATAGTTAATTAGATGAAGAACAAGGTAAAAAGTATTCCAGGCAAAGGCCATATGGTATTGCAAAGGCCCTGAGGCCAGAAATAGTTGGAAAAATGATCAAGCGACTGTAAGCAAGTGAAGGTAGGAGTAAGGAAGGAGGAGAGTAGCCTGGAATGAGATTGGAGAAACATGAGATATTGCAGATCTTCAGACGATTTGGGCCAAATTGTTCATGATTGTTTATTCCAACCTGATACATTTGGACTTGAGTATATAGGTAATAGGGATGTAACAGAAGATTTTAAAGGAGAAAGATAACATCAAGTTGTCCATAGAAAGATGGATGGAAGCAGTATAGAAGATGGCCACAATGGAGAGTGAGGGCAGCTTCAAGATTAGATAAGGAAAACCAATGTCAGAGCACAGTCAATGTAAATAAAAATGAGAAGAACTCCACAGGCAAATCTGAAGTATGATTGGCAGCCTCAGGGTCTACATTAACCTACTCTCTAAGTCCAGTGCCAAAGTCCTCTATAAACCCCAAAGATACTGATTTGCAATTGGAGAGATATTAAGGTCTTCCACCTCATCTGGGCTCTGTTCCTACGGTGTCTCACGTTCTGGCACTCTCATAGGAGATGGAGGGACAGAATATAAGACACTGTCATCATTGCATGATAGGCAACAAGACTATGGTTCTAGGATCTTAAAACCCAAATAAAGGATTAAAATTCTCTTCTTGCTCTTTTAGGGATGAGGAGCTGACAGGGACCTATGTCAAGGGTCAGAAT